GCACGCTTCTGTCCTTGGATATGTCAGGGCTGAAACTAAAATATCCCAAAAAGAGATGAAAGTGAATCATTATAATTAACCACAGTTGAAATAACACATTATAATTAAGTCATACTTCAAATAATACCCCGCATCGAGGTGCTCGATTTAATTCAACTTTCTCGACCAAAAACTGATTTTCCGACTGTCTCGACCAAAACCCAGTATGTTTCGATTTTCTCGATTAAACTTTGGTATGTTTTGACTTTCTCGATCAGACTTTGATATGTTTCGACTTTCTCAACCCAATAAAAAAAAGTATTTGAATTTTCTCGACCCAGTTCGGATATATTGCGACTTTCTCGACCGAATCGAGTATGTTTCGACTGTGCTCGGCTTATGTTTCGACTGTGCCCTATCTATATTTCGACTGTGCTTGACCTAGGTTTCGACTTCCTCGACCGAAAATGGGTATGTTTCCACTAAGTTCTACATATGCTCCGACTTTTTCACTTTTTTGCCTATCAAATATAATGAGGTATAATACATGCTTTCCAGTTTATTTTTTGTGATGATGCTTGATTTGAAAAAAAAAACTAAAAGAACCTGTAAGATTCAAAAATCTTTCATCAAAAACTAATTTCATCCAACTTTTGCTTTTTTAAACAAATCTGGGCTCAATCTATTGATGTTAAAACTGATATTTGAGGGTTTTTTGGTAAAATTTACTTTTTCTGGCCGCAGGAAGCCTTAGATTTCCAAAATTTAAAAAGTTAACTATGAAACTTCTAGTTTTGCGGCAAGCAAATCTCCTCAATTGATTGTTGCTAGTTTTTTTTTGCTCATTTTTCAATGTAAGTTTACCTAAAAGCTTGAAAAAAAAACCTTCTGCTTGACCTATGTTTCGGTTTTTTCGATTTTCTCGAACAAAGGTCTTTGTTAAGCAGATTTTTTTGCTCATTTTTCAATTTAAGCTTACTTAAAATCTTTTCAAAAAATCTTAAGCTTGACCTATGTTTCGACTGTTGTCGACCTATGTTTCGGCGTTCTCCACCTATTTGTTGACTTCCTCGACCAAAATTGAGTAGGTTTCGATTCGTTCGGCCAACATCAGGTATATTGTGACTTATTGCTTGACTTAAAATTGCTTCCCGAGCGCGGAATTTCAGTAGCAAAACTGCACGTGCTCGACTTTCAAAGTCGCAGCACAAATTGAGCACCTCGACCTGGGGCATTATAATTAAATCATTGTAAAAAGAACACTTTATAATTAGGGTATAGTTCCAATAAAACAAAATAATTGAGCCACAGTTGAAAAAACACATTATAAAAAAGGCCACAGTTGAAATAAATTAAAACTATTATATCTTTTTTTTAAAACATAGTTGTTGACTATACATGCTTACAGGTTAAGTGTGATTGTAAGCTTAGAGATTTTAAAATACGAGAAATTTAGCCGAGTTTTTTTATCATTTAATTGCCGATACTTTTTTTCGGGTAGCTGGTGGTTATCCTCGTGAAATTAGTCGAATACTCAATCGCGAATCTTGTCCGTTTTTTGGAAGTTTTTTTGAATAAAAAAAAACCGTTACTAATAAGTTTTGTCGACCTCGGTGTTTGGAAGGATTAAATTTGAACTCCATGTTGAGCAGAAAACGGGAAAAATTGGTTAAACTTACTTTTGTATTTCTCAGAAATGTATTTAAAACATTTTTTTTTCGTTTCGTATTTCTCAAAAATGTTTTTTTGTTGTTTGCTAAAACAATCATTTCGCGTTGTCAATTTCGCAGAAATGTACTTTGTTGTCTAAAAGTGCCATCACAAACGGTTATCGCCATAATGTCTTAATCGCCATAATCGTCCATAATCGCCTTAATTGGCTGTCATCAAGGGTTATTGCTCTTGATTCTTCAATTTCACGGAGACAAGACCTAATATGCAAGAATACTTGCGTTAACGGATGCCCAGGGTGTAAGTGACTTGCTTGCATGCCGCCTTGCGTGCGCAATTAAAATAATTAATGCCTTTGATGCGGCTGGCAATAGTTTGAATTATAGTTGCAAATGTAAAAAAAACTAACTGAATTCCAAATGCGCTAAAAGCCGCATGCTAAGCGGCATACGAATGTAAAAAAGCCGGCCTAGAATGAGTATATTGAGGATATTTCATTTTTTTTGAATTTTTTTTAACAAAAACTGTTCAGCAGAAAAAGAACATAGAAAATTGATAAATTTAGTTCACTCAATACCTTGCTTAACAAAAAACTCGATGGGTAACATATCAAAATCAAAAAACTTAGATCGATACATAAAATTATAAAAACAAAAATCATAAAAAACCTTTTATTCGTAAGCCTCGCATCGACAATTAGGAAATCAATTCATGCCAGTTTTTAAAAATGCAAGAAACTACAGTTAATTTAAAGCAAAAAAATATCATGTTAAAAAGGAATAACTGGTTGCTGGACAATTAGCACAGAAGACTCTAAAATCAATGATTTCAATCAAGAAAATAAAAAAAAAGAAGGAAAACGAAAAAATCAGTTTTTCAAAAAACTTTTTTTTCTCTAAAATTCAGCCAAATTTTTTTTTATTATAGTGTAATTAAATTAGGTAACAATGCAGAATGAGAGGCGATTATAGCTGAAAGAACGTAAGAATTGCTGTAAAATAAAAGTTGGTGTGTTAAAATTTTGAGAAATTTTCTGATCATTGTTTATAGCTTCTATAGTTCATATTTTATTTCAGCCCTAAATAAATTAGCGCTGATTCATTCTTGAGAATTCAAATCTGAACTAGAGCTGAGTATTTTCTGATCATTAATAAATAGCTACTGATCGAGGAAAAATTCAGCAATGTGGGATTTCTGAAAAATTGCTGACCCAGCGATAATTTTTATGTTAGATCAATTCGGGTTATGTTAGTCAAAAGGCGTTAAAAGCACACTTTACCCCATAATTCCTTCACTTTACCTCGTGAAAACTTGGACCAGATTTTTAAACTTATGTAGAGTCATTTGAGCCTTTAATTCAAACATTCAAAAATTTGAACTGATAATCTTGTTGTTCAGGAAAAGAAGTTAGTTAGGAGCCCGTGCTGGTTACAAGAACCAACTCAGGAAAAGAACTGAAACGATAAAAAATGAGAAAAACACAATCAAGTGAAAAACTGACTGTTTAAAACTGACTTTGAATTTTAACTTTCAATTTTCAATCATAATAAGTGATTTTTGATTGCGCTGATTTAATTTGAACTAAAAGTATTTGATTCCCAATTTCCATTTTCAGCGTAAATTAGCAATGATTTGGTGAAGAATCAAGGATATTTACGGTTATTGCTGTACTATCTCAGCCCTGAATTGGGTATAACTCAGTGAAAACTCAGAGATGTTCATAGTTATTGCTAAGTTTTTTTATCCATTGAACTAGCACTGATTTTGCTCTGATACAGTCCTGAAAGTCTAACTCTGAATCAAAGCTGAATGAGTTTTTACTGACCGTGGATAATGAGTCACTGATCAGCGTCAAAGTTATTGATGTTTGATTTTGAAAATTCGCTGGTTCAGCAATAATTATCAATGACAGGTCAACCCGGGTTCTTCCGGGGTTTTGTTTGTCAGTTGGAAAAAAGATACCTTATGCCATAATTCCTTTCCTTCTTTTCGTGGTTGGAAAAAAAACTGACTATTTCACTAGTTTTGCTTAGAAAAAAAAGTTGGGTTTGAATAGCTTACTTCGGATGCAGGAAAATTCTTGAAGCAGATCTGTACTCCCTAGAGAACGGAACATCAGTTGTTTGCGTGAAGTTCCCAACTTCAATCAGAAAACTTCCAGCTAAAAAACGAAGCTAAATCGGAATTCTTGCAATTACTTCATTCTGATCAGCTCTTATCAGTTTTCAGGCAAAAGGACGCACAAAAAACTTTATTATAGTTAATTGTTTTTTTTTTGGGGGGGGGGGGGATGTTTTTATCTAAGCAAATAATTTGACCTCTTTTGGTTGCTGTTTAATAGTAGCATTCTGGTTGCCGCATTCGTAATTTTTTCTAAAATCAGTTTCGTGCCAACGAAAATATGATTCGCAAAAATTCTAGATCCGTTCCTGGGCAAAAGAAAAAACTATTTGAAGTTTCAGAGTAGCTTCGGAAAAGCTTATTTTGTAATAATTCGACTGTTTGGCTAATTTATCACAAACCGTCAGAGCCGAGGCAACTAGCAGCTGTTAGCACCCAACTGGCACCGACCAGAGCTCCCCCACAGATGCGGGGCTGGGAGTGGAACTGGAAGTCAATGTCAAGCGAGATCTGCACGAAGAAAGGCCTGTCTGGGCTAACGTGACCTGAGATTATGTTGGAAATGAACGCATTGCTACTTTTATGGGAACTAGAGTATATGTTTTTACAAGTGATCAAAATAAAGCAGTAACTCAGAATGTGAAAAGCCAAAAGTGTCAATTTCATCATTAATGAAGTTTTATTTCAAAATCTGGACAAAGAAACAAAAGTTCAAGTGAATAAATTTTTAGTTCATCAAGTTTGATATTCAACGTTCTTTGTCAAATTTACTTAACAAAGTTGAATTGTATCTGGGTCAAAGTATCTGATATTTGCTGAACTTTTATTCAATAATATTATCATGGCATTTTCCAAGGAAAAATAATCGGTTGCCGTGCAATTAGCACAGAGTGTTGCAACCGCAATTATTGCAAAAAAAAATTCATACCATGTTTTTTTTCGACAGCTAAATGTGTGAAACAAATGTTCAAAATACAATTTACATTGAGAGGTTTTTGCCATGATAGTAACGCGATTATTCCGTAGTTCCTTCCGATTTTGTGAATGGGTCGGAACAAAAACCAATCAAAAAGCGAACTTCTTTTAGAAGGGAAAAACTTTTGAAATAGGATGATAACCTTAAAAATCATTTTCTTTTTAAAAAAATGTTCATGTTATTTAAGGAAGATTTTGAAATTTGCCATGATATATATGCCCTATGTCTATATTTCTATATGACATAAAATATATGCCCTTCTATCAGTTTACTAACCATTTCCCTTATATTTACAAACTATCGCAAAAATGTAATCTAGCAAAATATCAAAACAGTCAAAATATCGTTTTGTTTGACATTTAATTTACTCTAACAAGCTAAAATAAATTATCCGCGAAGTTAAACCGATCACTGAATTGTCAAATTACAGAGAGTTACAGAACTAAAGAACTAAAAAGCCAACAAAACAGACAGCAAAGTCATGAAGATTTTTATTGTCTTGACATTTCTGGTATCTTTGGCGACATGCAGAATGTTCGGCGATGAGTTTGGACCAGGTATTCAAGATTCGCTCCTTTTCAATCTAATTGGAGGACAAGACAGCCCCAAGCGAGACTTTTACATACGTCTTCACATCCACATGGTAAAGAAGGATATTGTGTCGACAGAGTATGACTCATTCAAGTGTGGGGGTGCTATCATAAATGAGAGTTGGGTTCTGACTGCAGCCTCATGTGTCGCAGGATCTGTCGTCTCTCAGAGTTAGCTTCCATTTACCCTTTTTAACCCTCTCTTCAGAAATTCGATACACTCTTCGGCTCTTTTTTCTTTTCCTTCCCACCTCACAAAGCATCAATTTTATGGTCTAACGAGTAGTTTTACAAGGTTGATTATGAAGACCAAATATGTTTGTCATGGCGTGATTAATCCGCATGTCAATTTTTATGACAATCGGACAATGAAAACAGTAATTTTAATTATAAAAATTTGCAGGTGGGGGGGGGGGGAGGAGGAAAAAGAGCCCACTCTTAGCCCAAAACTCGCTTTTTGGCAGCTAAGGTAATTGTTTCGGGCCGAAACAATTACCTTAGCTGACAAAAAGCGCGTTTTCGGCCGAAAAGCAGAAAAAATGTTTGCCTAAATCTCTTTTAGCGCCATTGTTTATACGCAAATTTTTTTTTAAAAGCTCAGAAAATCAATTTGATTCAAATAAAAACGGTGGAAATAATTTTCGAACATCCCTCTTCTCGCTAAAATCTTAGTTCTGGCCGTCCTTACCCCCATGCCACCCTATGCTCATTATGCTGATAAAATATATCGTAGAAACAGAAACAAAGCCTGGACCCTGGATCGTATTACAGGAATGCAGAAGAAGTAAGCATTGAAGAAGAATGAACAATTAACAGAAGGTCAAATCTTAAGGTCAAGCACGCGCGGGATGGACGCAAAATGAAATTTGTGAATGACAAAAGTCAGGGGCGGATTTAAGTTGGGCGGGGGTTCGTACGCCCCCCCCCCTCTCAGGATTTCGGCCCCCTCACAAACCAATCGGTCCCCTCTTTGGTATTGATTTTATATTATTCAATTTTAACCGACCAACTCTTAAATATTTCTAAAGCTCGTTTACCCGAAGTCTAAGCTGTAAGCTGTGGAATTTCTAGTTTTCTCAATTTGAAATTTTTCGTTTTTTGTTAAGTTGACCGCATTGACGTGGAGGTGAGAGACTTCAGCGATGAAACTTCTCAGGGCCAGTTCATATCCACACTCCAGACACTTGTTCACGCAGGGTATGTGTGTGGGGGGGTATGTACACAAGGAGGTGTATCTCAGGGGGTGAGGGTTTGTAGGGGGGGGGGAGAGTCTTAGGTTAATTAAAGCGGTTCTTATTGAAATTGTGGCCGTTTTCCACTCCCCCACATTTGAGTGAAAAAACTAATTTAACGTTTTCAAAATGTGAAATTTTGCATGGTGAACAACCTAGCAACGCATTTAGCCATTATAACAGTTAAAACAACCATGAAGCTAAAAAGTTTGAAATTTAGTGGAAAAAAGCTAGTGGAACTTAGTTTGAAGCCGGCTCTATATTTTTGTAAATAGATTTGCATGAAATTATTGACAAAGAATGAACAATTGGCAAAGCAACGATATAAAATAGAGCAGCAAAAAATTTATTTTGATTGAAATTTCGGTTGGAATTATTTTTCTAGCAGAAATTTTTATTGCGGTTGTTTTCAGTTATCGTCGTAACGACAAGTTGAACAATCTTGCGCTGCTACAGCTGTCAGCTCCCGTAAGTTCCGACCGGGTACTTCAACCCTGTCAATATAACGCACACTTCCATAAACTGCTAGGCACGTGTGGAATGGGAACGATGTCGTCGTTAAAAGACGACGACTACCCGACTCGGCTCCGAGAAGGGTTCTTCGACGAAACAAACTATGGTTGCCGACGAGACAACATCTGCACCAAACGGCTTTTCAAGGGCACAAAATACGGAGCGAATATTTGCGAAGGAGACTTCGGCAGTCCGTTGTACACTCTTCACGACTCGGAGACTTCGGTTCCCGAGTGTGTGTACGGGATCGCGAGCTACTCGGGTGATTCGCTGAGAGCCACGAGTAAATGCACCGGCGGAAGTTTTTTCACGAACGTGCCTCTTTTCTACGACTGGATTCGTTTTACTATCGAGCGATACAGTTCAGATGTAGATTACTAGAGTGTGAAAACACAATAGAAGGATGAACGTGTAAAAATAAGTGAAACATAAACATCAACATAATGTTAGCTCAATTGCGTTCAAATCTGCAACACTTATATATCTGCTGCATATAGTACCAGCCATTAAATTGAGCTCGCTTTGCTCCCAAATTTATTTTCAGATAAAAGTAGTACAGAATGTTCCGACAACCACCATTAAGATCAATATTTTTCTTTTAAATTTCTGATTGATTAATTAGGTAGAAAAATACAAAAGCGAGATTAATATAACTAAAAAAACGTAAAAATTGCAGTAGAATTAAATCGGGGGTCATTGCACTCCAGAGTAATCAAAATTTGTGAAAAATAGACCAGTTTTCAAATCTCTTTTTTAGAATCCAAGTCACGGCTGAAGTTACTTAATGATAATAAAACAAATTGTAATCAGGCTCGCAATTTTGCAGACTAGCTTACGATATTGGTTAAAAAAATATCGCAGATTGAAACCTGAGAGACTTCGATATTATAACAAAACTTGACCCCCTCAGAGCTTTCCTTGAAGTAGTCAACGAGAAAACCTACACCCAACGCAATAGTTCCTTCCCATTCTTAGAGATTGTTTAAAACGTATCGTATTATAAACGAAACAGAAGCCTACGCTACTTCCAGCTTTTTATTACATGGAACAGTTGGCATGACCGTGAGAAAATTAAACGATGAAGTCTCTTTGAAAAAAAAAGAACTAAATCTTTTTAGTTGCATTAGATTTAGAGGATTGCTGCTCTAGGTTCGTTCTCTCTCTCTCTCTCTCTCTCTCTCTCTCCTCTCTCTCTCTCAACTACATGCAAAGTGGTCTCTTTGGTAGTGAATTCATCGGGGGCGACCAAGGCTCACTACTATAAAATTCCGAAAGGGTTAAAGTGGTGGCAGTTATACTGTATTGTACCATGATGTTTACCGCCTTTTGTCATTACTCTTGTGGCTGCGTCGCTCGCACTCACGATAGTAGGATTTTCCAATAGTAGTTAAATTCAGACAAAAAAGTCCAATTACAGAGGGCTCTGAGTTGCCTGATTATACTCTAAAAATTTAATCAAAAGGAAAGGAACCTGGATTCATCAAAAAACGCTAACTTGCTATTCAATTTCCCGTTAATCCAAGTAACTCTCTGCTCTTGAGAAAGCAATAATCTAACGTAGTCACACTCACCTGGGAGAATCCTTACTTTCACAATAGTCGAACTGTTCTCTATCTAACTACGAGAACCAACCGTTTGGTCACTCTGCATAATTGTTCTCCATTGAGGTGGGCTACCGTAACTTTTGCAATGTTGTTGTATTTGAGTTTTAGTTATAAGTATTGTTATGATCGTCCCTACACTGGTATCCTTTAGAATTTTCCCTTGACCACACTAGCTATAAATTTGAAGTTCACCATGTGTACCTCCAACCATGCTGGGCAACTATAAAAATCAGTTTCACCTAAAACCAAGTTACGTTTCCTTACTTAAAAAAATTCTCAAAGACTTTATTCAATCATCCCGCTACCATTCCTACCTCCCGGACGTAAAAGAGAACCCTTTTCATGGGTAGCTATTTTGTTTCCAGCATATAAATGTCCTATTTAAACTGTATTTCGATCTCGACCTTCTAGCTATCAGGGGAACTTAATTCGCCTGTTCGGGTTCCAATTATGCCAACAAATCACCTCCTGAGAGCTAAGTAAAAAAAACCGTCTACTCATGGTTTTTAAAAGACTGACTCATTTCCTAACGCTGCCAAAATCCTATGGGACTGCTTTTCTTTAGTCTAGTTGAAGCTTCTGCTTCAGTTACCAGTGGATAAGTTTTATTACGATTATCAGTTAGGTGATCGATTCCCATTTCCAGTGGTTGGGGCTACCGGTGGTAAATCTGGGGGTTTTATGCAATTTTGGTCTTGAACGCTCAATGGTCATTGAAAGGTCACCCGGGGATCACTTTTCCTTATTTAGGTTTAGAACGCCATGAGGGTCCTACCTACAAAGATTCATTCATATACCATCAATATTTCCTAACTATCCAATTCAAAGGTCTAGTATCACTTTTCCCGGGAAAAAACTATTAACACCATAAGGAGTCGCTGGAGGAGTTCCACTCAAAAATGTTTTCATGGTGTTTGTATCTAGTGTCTATTGCCGCTATAAAATCAAAATGCCCTCGCTCATTGTTTTGCATAAATTGCTTATTTCCAGTCTGAGGTGAGTTTTTCCCAAGTGCTAATAATTTCCTGTCCAACCGCTGGATTTGGCTCAATTTGTAATACATGACGCCCCCAGCCGTTTACTATCATATCCAAAAGATTTGACTCCCGAGAAACTTTTTCTAGAAGTCGCGGTGGGGTCTATTTACTTAAAGCATAACACCGGAAGTAGGAGTCCAGGGGTGTGGGATTCCAAAGTTAAGCTTCCCCCAACTAGATCTCTAACATACTAAGATTTGGTACCATACTAAACTTTGGCTACTGAATTATTTCTAATAGGGCTATTTTTCTTTCCGGTAATCGTTATCATCTGGGCCAGCGGGTTGCCAAGGGTCTAGATTTTTGCATGCACTGATCAAACCATCTCTCCTTTTTGCCCTATGGGTCTCATAGAGTTAGCTTTCTCAATTTCCATTGGGGTCCACCTATCTCATTTTAATAGGGTTTTCAACCATAGAAAGGACTAATTCTTTAAAGATTCGAAGTTATTTTAGACTCTATTCGTTGTGTAATTTTCTATTTTTTGTATGTATTAGTGAATACCAAGCAACGTACAACTGATTAACTTTCGCTATACTACAAGCTCTTCTCAATATAAAGCTCTCAATCGAATTTTGAGTTTCGCGAAAAAGTGTTAAAATTGCCGATCCTACAGTTGCGATCAAAAAACTTAACTCCTGGATAACCATAACTTTCCTTCATGGTTCCGTGAAAACAGATGTATAACCCGATATTTGTATTCGATAATTCAATAAAACATCTAAAGCTCATGAAAAACACTGAAAAATTTTTCTGGAACATCGACCAATTTTATAATTGTTCAGCATCTGAGCCTGTACAATATAGCATTACCGTTTCATTTTCATGATATGTAAAACGAAAACAAAATAGAGGATTTTTTTTTGCATTTCGATGTTGTTTTTTTTCCAAATCAAAAATGATATTTAATTCATATAGAAAAAGCAAAAGAAAACATTATTTGCCTTTATTTCGAATTCCAGGAAAAACATTATCTATGCATTTTTGGGGGATTAAATTTATTGATTCTGAATTTACTTGAAGAAAAATTGGAGCGTCAAACATGAAGAAACTAGATATTGCTTCAACTTAGTAACAATTATACGGTTGAAGCACTCGTTTAAAAAAGTTGCCGTTTTTGTTCCGATTTTTAAAATGGAGACACACTTTGTATTAAAATGTGCTTTCTTTTTTTCTTATTTTTATTTTCCTCGCAAAATCAGGTATTACAAATAATCATCGGAATAAATCGAGTGATATATCATATTAAAGCCCTTCATGTCGTGGTTCGAAAAAGTTCCAAAAAATTGTCTCGAGTTCGAGAAAAACTGATTTCTATTTTAACGAGTCAGTCTTGAAAGGTTTTCTTCAGATTTTTGAGTGCAACAGCTGATTTCTGAATTTAGGTCGTGAAAAGTTAGTATATTTGAGTGAAACTAGTTGGAATTTGTATAGCGCCTTTTCAAAATTTTTTTATGATTGCTATCCAATCATTTTTCTACAAAAACTGTTGTTCAAACTATTTGTGTTACTATGACTGTTGGATGTGCTTAAATTCTAGTTTCTCTTTTTGACCCTTTTATCACATCACGCAGAAAAAAAAACACTGTTCAGAAAAAAAAGATACTTCAAGACTAATATTGGAACATTGTGTCAATTGCACAGTAAACGGCTATCGCTACTAGTATGTGAAAACAGCGGGATTTATTTGTCATGCTTAACAACCAGGGTAAAAATTAATTAACAAAAAATAGCAAGGGTACAAGTCACTGACTTCCACTTTCATCAGACTTTTTCTCCCGTCAAAAAAATTGACCGGTTCGAACAACTTTGAAATTAGTTAAATTAAGCAAAACTTGACTAACACTATAAAAATTAAGGAAAAAGATAACGCGCATGCGAAAGATATTGTTACTATAAATAGATATAAAATCCCAAAGTAAATTATACAAAAAATAGAGCTCCGCTTATTTAAAAATGAATTAGATTCTTCAGTCATAGCCAATTAGCTAAACACACTTCATAGTCTTATGTGATATATTAAAAATAGTTAATGAAATCTGACTGTACGAAAGTAGCAACAAGGACTGTCGGTTTCTGTGCAAGTAGCACAGAATGTTCTGACGATATTCACTTAAAAAAATATTTTCATGTTTCATGAAACTAGTGTCATTTTTAGTTCGTGTTGTGATTCGAGAACTATAAAAAAGCGTATAAAGTTATTGAAATAAGCAAAGTTTGCCGTCAAAAAATGAATAACAAGCAAAAAAATTTAATAGTTTTAAATTCTTCTTATAAATTTTGGCACAATAATTTAAAGTGTATTTAACACTTGTATTACAAATTGTATAACAAATTGTTTCCATATGACAAAAATTGCTCAATCAGTAACTCGCTCGAAATGAGATTTCATCTAAAAATATTCAAACAAGTTTTTCTCGATTCTGGGAATGTGTTTTTCTCAAAGTTTCAAAATCGTTCGAAACACGACGGAAATAGCTTTAACATGAGAAATCACTCAGCCCATTCCAATGATGCGCAGAAAATTATATAAAAAAACAAAAGCACATCCGAAAAAAAATCTTCTCCATGTTTCAAATGGTCGAAACAAAAACCATTTTCGAAACACGACGGAAATAGCTTTAACACGACGGAAATAGCTTTACGAATTTGCTCAATGAGAAAAACCAGAAATATTTTTAATTGTTATTTTTTTAAATTTTTCGAATTTTCAATAAGAAAAACCCAGAAATATTTTTAATTGTCATTTTTTAAAATTTTTTTGTTGTTATTTTCAA